ATTAATGTTTATAAAAAAAAGAAAAGAATTAGTTTATTAATTAAATATAGTTCTAAACTGGTTTATAACGAGTTCAATTCATTTTAGAATTAATTGTGGATTGGTTAGTAAAATCAATTTTGAATCCAAATAAAAATTATCAAATGATTGCAGAAAAAAATAAAAAATATATAAATAATATTGAAAATTAAAAATAGAAATAAATATTTAAAAATAAATAAAAATAAATAAGAGAAAACAAACTAAATAAATAATGAATAAAAATAAATAAAAGAAGAAGAAAGTAAATAAATAAATTATAAGAGAAGAGAAATAGAGAGGAAAAAATAAAAATAAATGAAAAGAAGAGAAAAAACTGGTTTGGTTGATGAATTGATTTTAAGTACAAGAACTAGTTTCTAAAAATAATTCAATTCAAGTAAAAAATAATTTTTTTAAGTTTAGTATTTTTTGTGGTTCTTTTGCACACACCTAAAATTGATTTTTGAACCAGGATTTGAAATCGTATGAAAAGTATGAAATACTGAGAAAAAATAAAATATAAATAATATCACCAATTTGAAAAAAATCAATAAATGATTACAAATAAAAATAAAATAAAATAAAAAATAAGAGAGAAAAATACATAAGAGAAAAAAGGAAAGAAAAACTAAAGAAATAAAAATAAAGATAAAAGAAGGAATAAAATAAATAAGGAAGAAAAATAGAGAGAGAAATATATAAAAAATAAGAGAAGAAGAAGAAGAAAAAAGAGCAATTCAGTTTATGGTTTTGTAAACCAGTTCAATTCATAAATCAGTTTAGTTCATAAACTTGTTTTACAAAAATAGTTCAGTTCAAGAACTAATTTTTAAAAAACAATTCTTTCAAGAACTTGTTTTTAAAATCACTTGTTTTTTAAGTGCAGTTCAATTTTTTGGTTCTTTTGCACATCACTTGCTTTTTGTCCTTGTTTTTGCTATGGATAGCTAATTTTTTTTATAGTTAGTGTTAGATGGAACCCAATTAAATTTTTATGTTTCTGAATTAATTTGTAATTTATTTTTCTCGTTTTATATATATTAAATGAATTTACTTGTTCTTTCTGCTTCTATGAGTTAATTTTTTTGTAGATTAATCTATGATACATGATAATAAGGATATTGTTATATGCATTGGGGTTGATAAATGCAGCATTGATTTATATGAATCTATACAATCCTTATAATTTTTATTTTTAATACTTAAATCATTTTAATAACAAACTGAGAGAGAGTATGCATGAAAGCACAATTTCTGAATCTATACCTATATATTCAGAGTAATATTTCTCTCAAGTTGCATAAGAGGGAAATATTTTTCTACACTTACATACAATTGTGGGGATCACCAAGAGAGAGAGAAAAATAAAATAATAGCTCAATTATCAATGTGACTATACAAGTGTAAGAAAATATTTCTCTCTTATGCAACTTGAGAGAAATATTATCCATATACACATGAGTTAAAAGTTGGTTATGTTACAGGATTCATTTTTATCTTTCCTGCATAGATAACAACACTCTCATATGCCAATTTTCTTTTCTTTTTATTTTTTATTTTTTTGTGGACCCCACGTTTTTTTTGTGTGCAGAAAAGTTAAAATTTCATCATGTAACATGACAAACTTTTTAACCCTATGTATAATATGGGTTCGCTTTTTTCGCAGTAGATAAGTTATCTGTAGTAAGTTCAATACGACGTCATTTTAGGACGAAAATCATGGTGTTTTTGTAATTTTAATTTATTTCAGGGTTATAATAGTCTTTATATTTATAATTTTTTAAGATTTCAATACCAAAATGATATCGTTTTGGAAATAAATGCAGATAACTTATCTGCGGCAGAAACATTTTTCCCATATAATATTACATGCAAAAGAGCAACAAAAAGCACTAACATAGACAACTCCAGAACGTGCACAATAGTTGCAGCAGCTGGTTCAACAACTCCAAGTTAAGGATGAAGTTGGAAGTTGAGATAATCTCCAAAGAAATAATCAAACGCTCTTCTCCAACACCTGACCATCTTCGTCATTACCAACTCTCTTTTCTCGATCAAATCTCTCCCTTGGTGTATAACCCATCAGTTCTCTTTTACTCTTCCGATGGTACCACTGAATTCAACAGAACCACCATATTTTCACATCGTTGTTTAATAAAATAAAAAACACATATTTCAATATATTTTGTCCCTTTTTTATTTTTTACATAAATTAGATGATGTAAAAAAAAGTGTGAAAAAAGATAATGTGCAAATATCATTTTACGTTCAAAAAAATATTTTTTTTATACTTTTTATTTATCTTTTCTTTCTTCTTATTTATTTGTTTCTATTACCTATCTTTATTTTCACTATATTTTTATTCTATTTTGTACTTGTTTCTTTTCAAATATCATTTTCCGTTCATAAAAATATATTTTTATTTATTTTATTTTTCTTTTCTTTCTTCTTATTTATTTTTCTCTATTTCCTATCTTATTTTCATTATATTTTTATTCTATATATATATATATATATGTTTCTTTTTAAATTTTATTTTTATTCTATTTATTTACTTTACTTTTGTTTCCTTCAATTTTTTATTTGAATTTATCAATCAAATCCCAATTAATTTAGAATAAAAGATATTCGTAAGTTGATGTTGAAAATTATCTACATCTAAATAATACTTCATTTCCTTGTGACCCATACTTTAAGTCAATGATGTAATACACCAACCACAACTTTAAAATGGTCAATTTTGTTGCTTGAGTAGAAACCTTTTTTTTTTTTTTTGGTAAATTGTAGAAACCTTTTTAAATCTTATAAATACAAACGTATCTTTCTCTGCTAGGTATACGTAAAAATCTAACCGTTTAGCTTAATAAATATATATAGTCATATAGACGTTGGGGTAGTTGAAATTAAACTCCAATAGTTTGCCTATGTATTATATTAGGCTTCCAATTTCCTTCAATGTAGTCTTCTCTCCATAATATTAATTGCTTATAGCCAGCAGTTATATCCAGTTTGGCCTTTTAATCATAAAAGCCAAATATTTACAAGGGAAATACTACTCCTCTAAGTATTTACCAATTTTTACTATGCGAAATATTACCAGTTTAATTGTATATTAAGGTAGAATAAGCATTAATTTTATTATGTCCTTTAGAATTAGGTTTAAATTTTTTAAAAACTCACCCCATAATTCAGTTCAGAATTAATTATGAATTGGTTTTTAAAATCAATTTTGAATCCAAATAAAAGTTATCAAATGATTGCAGGAAAAAAATAAAAAATATATAAATATATAAATGATATTGAAAATTAAAAATAGAAACAAATATTTAAAAAGAAATAAAAATACATATGAGAAAAAAAAACTAAATGAATAAAGAATAAAAAAATAAAAAAGAAGAAAGTAAATAAATAAATCATAAGAGAAAAGAAATAGAGAGGAAAAAATAAAAATAAACGAAAAGAAGAGAAAAAAATGGTTCGGTTGATGAATTGGTTTTAAGTCCAAGAACTAGTTTCCAAAAATAATTCAATTAAAGAACTGATTTTTAAAAATTAATTTTTTAAGTGTAGTATTTTTTGTGGTTCTTTTGCACACACATAAAATTAATTTTTGAACCAGTATTTGAAACCATATGAAGAATATTGAGAAAAAAATAAAATAAAAATTATAAATATAAATATTACAACAAATTTGAAAAAAAATCAATAGATGATTAAAAATAAAAATAAAATAAAGTAAAAATAAGAGAAAAAAGAAAAGAAAAAACTAAAGAAATAAAAATAAAGATAAAAGAAGGAACAAAATAAATAAGGAAGAAAAATATAAGGAAAAATATATAAAAAGTAAGAGAAGAAAAAAAAATAAGAGAAGAAAAAAAAAGAGTAATTCAGTTCATGATTTTTTAAACCAGTTCGGTTCATAAATCAGTTCAGTTCAAGAACTAATTTTTAAAAAACAGTTCAGTTTAAGAACTTGTTTTTAAAATCACTTGTTTTTTAAGTGCAATTCAATTTTTTGGTTCTTTTTCACATCTCTATCCATCAAGGAATATCATATAACTATTTGTTGGATCCATGCATATTATCTCATGGTTATCCTGGTGCTATAATTTAATGTTAATTTAGCATTGTAGTTAGTTTATTTGGATGGAATTATGTGCATATTGATTAGTTTATTTATTTTATATATTAAAAGTATAGATACACGATAAACTCATAGTTTTTTATGTTTTAAATGGGCAAAAAATCACAATAATAAACTCTCAAATATAGCTTAAAGCATGAAAAATTAAAATTATTTGGTTAGAAAGCATTAACTTTGTTCCTCTAACACATCTAATTAATCTTTGTTAATTTTATCAGAAAATTGAGTTGAATTGGAGTAAGGAGTTATGGACCCAATTAAGGTATTGAGGTATTAGATTATTCTAGAGATTCTTGACATTGCGGTATCACGAGTCACCAAGGTTTCATGCTTTTGAGAGTCAAAGACATATTCAAGGCACGATCAAGTTGGGATTCGTAGAGATTCACCACAAACCTTCATTGCAATGGAGTTTGAGAAAGTTTTTATGATTTCTTTTGTCCTTGTTTTTGCCATGAATACCTAATTTTTTTTATAGTTAGTGTTAGATGAAACTCAATTAAATTTTTATGTTTCTGAATTAATCTTTAATTTATCTTTCTCGTTTTATATTGAATGAATTTATTTGTTCTTTCTGCTTCTATGAGTTAATTTTTTTGTAGATTAATCTAGGATACACGTATGATAATAAGGATGTTGTTATATGCATTGGGGTTGATAAATTCAGCATTGATTTATATGAATCTATACAATTCTTATAATTTTTATTTTTAATACTTAAATCATTTTAATAAGAAACTGAGTGAAAATGACAGTATGCATGAAAGCACAATTTCTGAATCTGTACCTATATATATTAATATTACATGCAAAAGAGCAACATAAAACACTAACATAGACAACTCCACAACGTGCACAATAATTAAGGATGAAGTTGGAAGTTGAGATAATCTCCAAAGAAATCATCAAACCCTCTTCTCCAACACCTGACCATCTTCGTCATTACCAACTCTCTTTTCTCGATCAAATCTCTCCCTTGGTGTATAACCCCACCGTTCTCTTTTACTCTTCCGATGGTACAACTGAATTCAACAGAACCACCATATCCAACCATTTGAAGAAATCTTTGTCTGATGTCTTAACCCATTACTACCCTTTTGCTGGGAGAATCAATGGCAAGAACTTCATAGATTGCAACGACGAGGGCATCCCTTACTTCCAAGCAAAAGTGAAGTGTAAACTAGTCGATGTTATTCATAAGCCAGTTCCAGGAGAACTCAACCATTTGGTTCCATTTCAACTAGATGATATCACCGATATCCTATTTGGTGTTCAACTTAATGTTTTTGAATGTGGTGGTATTGCAATCGGTGTTTGCCTTTCTCACCAGATTGCAGACGCTCTATCATTTTTCACGTTCATCAATAGTTGGGCAGCCATTGCTAATGGATCCCAAGCTGCGTTGCCAAATCCACAGTTTGTTTCAGCTAAGCTCTTCCCCCCAAGAAACATATCTGGGTTTGATCCTCGAGGTGGTATCATGAAAGACAACATCATATGCAAGATGTTTGTGTTTGAAGCTTCCGTTGTTGAAAATTTAAGGGCAAGATATGCAGATAAAACAAGCTTCGAAAACGAGAAGCTCCCAACTCGAGTGGAGGCATTATCTGCTTTCATTTGGAGTCGATATGTGGCTGTGACCAGAGACCAATCAGGTCCACAGAGAACACATGCTGTGGTTCACGCAGTGAACCTTCGTCCAAAGATGGAACCACCTCTTCCTCCAGAGTCCTTTGGAAACTACTACAGAATTAGCATGACAATTCCATTGTTGAACACTGAAGAGGAGTGTCACGGGCTAGTGAAACTGGTAAGGGATCAAATAAAGAAGATTGATAAGGACTATGTGAGGAAACTACAAGAGGGAAACGAGCATTTGGATTTCCTAAAGAATAATTCATATAGAGTGCTTGTGAAGGGGGAGTTAGTGTCGTTTAGTATCACTAGTTTGTGTAGGTTTCCTCTGTATGACTCTGATTTTGGTTGGGGGAAACCAACGTGGGTTGGTTCACCTGCTTTAACGTTTAAAAATCTGGTTGTTTTCATCGACACCAAGACCGGCGGTGGCATAGAAGCCTATGTTAGCTTGAAGGTGGAGGACATGGCAAAGTTCGAAGCAGATGAGGAGGTGCTTGCTTGTGTTAATAAAGACTGAACTTGTTGAATATGCATGCATGCATGTGATGTAATTAATAAGGTAAAATTATCAATAAGTTGTAAAATAAGATGCAGAACAAAAAGTGTAATCGTTTTTGCATTATGTAGTTTCCGCTAGTACTTTTTAAAATACGTATGTGGATGAATCTCTTAGGCGCCGCGTTTGGTACGCGAAATTCTTCAAGAATCTCGGTAAACTGAATTTTTCTAAATTTTAAATTTACGGATATTATCATAAACTGAATGTAAAAATCATATTTTTGAAAATTAAGCTTACGAGCAAAAAAAAAAAAAATTTCTTATACCAAACGCCCCTTACTTTTAACTTTTGCCTCCCACTGGTTGATGGAAAATGGAAATAGTGGATGACTAGGCTTCTTTATCATCTTAGTGCGTTTTTCCAAATATTCCACCGGATTAAGTTTTTGGTCAAACTATTTATCTATATAATGCAGAAAGCAGAGAAAAATTACTTGTTGAAGAGATGAAGTTGAAATTTGAGAAATTGAGAGACGGGTGGGGGGAGGAGGTGGAGTGCTGCAATTTATAGGAGCCAAATTAACGTGGTACCATTTTTTGTGTGACTAGACGTCAGAGATGCAATGTGTGCAGGTGCACATCAGTGACGCGGTGTGTATAGGTGCGCGTCTCTGACAACATGCTACTGGTCAAGAACGCGGTTCAACGACATGCGTGTCTTGTTAGTCAGACACACTAATCACTACAAAAAAATGCGGTGTTTAACCACATCTCTTTAACTACGTTTCTCTAAATCACGATAAAAATAAAAAGGAATCCGGAATTTACCACACTAAAAAATGTGAAAAATTATATTTAAATTATTTCATCTCTCACTATTTACGTAAATCACAAAAGCACCCCATTTTTATTTCATGGCCCTCTATTTTCTCAAATCACAGAGACACCGAAGCTTTCTCTCTTCCTTTTTATTTCATGATTCAAGGATCATAAATTTAGGCTTGGCAAAAATGAGCCAACTCGTCGGATTGGCTCGAAACTCGGCTAAAATGAGCCGGGTTGGGTTAGAGAAAATTAGTTAGTAACTCGAGTCAGCTCAAAAAAAATCGAGCCAACCCACGGGTCAAACAGTTTGGCTCGCGGGTTATGATTTTTTTTAATATAAAAGTATAAAAATTAATGAAGGTAAAATGAAAAGCTAAAAGCTAAAATCTCAATTCCAAAGACCCAAACGAAAATACCATGTAGCTGCCAATAAATCCAAAACCGTGCATTAAGGACCTTTTTTATAGTATGTGTGACAATGTGAATGTGACGCCAACTGCCAATAAGTCTAAGTCCAAATGCAAAAGGAATTTTCTATGATTTATCTGTATAATGTCTTCGTATTGAATGAATTAATGATTTAGGAAAAAAATTTAGAAGTTACAGCATCAATTGGAATTTTATTTTATTTTTCATTTTTTCGAGCCAACTCGCGAGTCAACTCTAACCCGACTCGGGTCAGGTTGGGTTGAGTTTCTGCCTCGTTTATTTTTCGAGCCAACCCTAACCTGACTCATTTTTTTCGGGTTAAATGCGGGTTGGATTGTTAGGAGAAGAGTAAAACAAAGGATTTTTACTAAGGCAGAAGTCGTAACTTTTTCATTCAAACAATAGATTTAAATTACAAAACTTGTAACTCTACAATAAAGACACTTAACATCACAATAAACTCACATAATTTCAGAAACTTAAAAACATAAAACTGACATTTAACGTTTGCTGAATTAAACCCATTAAAAATTAAACTGACACATAACTCCACATTTAACGTTTATTTAACAAAACTCCCCCGTAAACTTAAATGCTTCTGCCATCCTTCATGCCGATCAATTTCTTGTAGTTGTCAAGGAGTACCGTCGGTAGCGGTTTCGTGAAGATATCCGCGACTTGCTCTTGACTGGTCACATGTGTTAGCTCCACATTTCCTTCCTTTACTTGATCCCGGATGAAGTGAAATCGGACGTCAATATGCTTGCTTCTTTCATGATTTACCGGGTTCTTGGCTAGCTCTATAGCCGACTTATTGTCAATTCGGATCACAGTTTGGCCGACTTGTTTTTCCTCCAGCTTGCTTAGCAAATTCCTGAGCCACATTGCATGACAAACACACCAAGATGCAGCTACATATTCAGCTTCACATGTCGACAGTGTCACAATAGGTTGCTTCTTCGAAATCCAAGTGAATGCCGTGTTGCCCATGAAAAACACATAACCAGCCGTGCTCTTTCGATCATCTACGTCTCCACACCAATCACTGTCAGAATATCCAATCAACTTGTATTTTGCCGAGCTCGAGTAATGTAACCCGTGTGAAACTGTACCTTGAACATACCTCAGAATTCTCTTTACCGCCTTCCAATGTGTGTATCTTGGCTCCTCCATGAACCGACTTACTATGCCGACACTCAACGAGATATCCGGCCTCGTGCATGTGAGATAGCGTAGGCTTCCCACCAAACTTCTGTACTTGCTTGCATCAACACAGTCTCCTCCATCAAACTTAGAAAGTTTTGAACCGGGTTCCATTGGTGTTGAAACCGGGTTGCAATCTTCCATCTTGTACTTTTTCAAAATCTTTTTTTGCATAAGCCTCCTGTGTCACGAAGATTCCCTTCTCATTTTGTTTTACTTTCAAATTGAGAAAGAACTTCATAAAACCGAGATCTGTCATTTCGAACTCTCTTGTCATTGTGCTCTTGAACTCTTGTATCATCTTGGCATTGTTTCCCATAAAAATGAGGTCGTCAACATAAAGAGCCACAATTAACAAGTCTCCTCCATTTTTCTTGACATAAACAGCATGTTCATATGGACACTGTTCAAGTCCATTCTCCTTGAAATATTTGTCAATACGAGCATTCCATGCTCGTGGTGCTTGCTTCAACCCGTAAAGTGCTTTCTTCAATCTCAGCACCTTCTTCTCTTCTCCTGCCTTCATGTAGCCCGGCGGTTGTTCCACATAAACTTCTTCTTCAAGAACACCATTCAGGAATGCCGACTTTACATCCATTTGATGTATTGGCCATCTGTATTGAGCAGCCTGTGAGATGAGTAGCCGAATTGTCTCCATCCTTGTAACAGGGGCAAACACCTCGTCATAGTCAATTCCAGCCTTCTGCTTATAACCTTTTGCAACTAGTCGAGCTTTATATCGTTTTATCTCCCCTTGAGCATTCATCTTCTTCTTGAACACCCACTTCACTCCAATGGGCCGACTTCCTTTTGGTAGCTCGGCTAACTCCCATGTGTTATTTCGGTCAATGGCTTCTATCTCCTCATCCATGGCGTCTTGCCATTTCTTATCTCGGATGGCTTCTTCAAAGCTTATATTTTCAGAATCTGCAAGAAGACAAACAAAATGTACCTCACTTGTTGACTCATATATGTCTTGTATGCTTCGCATCCTGGGTTGTCGTACCTCGTCTTCATCATCAGAAGCTTCAGGACTTGCCGGGTTGATAATTTGTGTTGTGATTCCGTCTTCAAAGTTTATCTCAGATGAATTGCTCCAATCCCACTCATTTGCTTCATTGAGCTTTACATCTCTGCTCACTATGACTTTCTTGTTGATGGGGTCAAACAGCTTATACCCCTTTGTTTTTTCATCATATCCAATAAAAACATATTTCTTGCTTTTATCCTCGAGCTTGGTTCTAAGCTGGTCCGGTATGTGTGCATAGGCCACACTACCAAAAACTCTGAGATGAGCCACTGAAGGCTTTTGACCGCTCCATGCTTCCTGTGGTGTTTTGTCATCCAAGCTTGAATGTGGACATCGATTCTGCACATACACAGCACACTGCACAGCTTCCGCCCAAAACTCCTTCGGCATCCTTTTGTTCTTCAGCATTGACCGAACCATGTCAAGAATAGTCCGGTTCTTCCTTTCAGCCACGCCATTCTGTTGTGGTGAGTATGGTGCTGTTAGAAACCTCCTTATCCCCTGTTCCTCACAGAACGACATAAACGTTGTTGAGGTATATTCCCCACCTCTGTCAGACCGCACCGATTTGATATATCTTCCTGTTGCTTTCTCAATCATCACCTTGAACTTTTTGAACACATCAAACACCTCAGACTTCTCCTTCAGAAAGTAAACCCAAGTTTTCCGTGAGAAATCATCAATAAAGGAAATAAAATACTTCTTACCGCTGAAGGAACCCGGATTGATGGGTCCACACAAGTCGGTATGTATTAGTTCCAGAGGTTGCTTAGCCCGGAATCTTGCCATCTTCTAAAACGTGGTCCTGGCATGCTTGCCAAGTACACAACTCTCACAAAACTTTCCTTCAAAGTTTATGTCAGGTAACCCGTCCACCATCTTTTTCTCTGCCAACTTGGTTAGACCACTATAATGTAGGTGACCAAACCGGAGATGCCAAAGTGACGCCTTATCTTCTACCTCGGCTTGTAAACATTCAACCTGTACACATTTCAAATTCAGTTTATACATACGATTCTTATCCATTTGAACTCGGACTATCATCCGACCTTGCTCATCTTTCAAATACAATACCCGGTCTTTCATAATAACCGAGTAACCTTTCTCCATCAGTTGACCCATGCTTAAAATATTGCTTTTTAGGTCGGGTACATAGTACACATCTCGAATTGAGCCAATTAACCCGTCCTTTTGTAGGAAACAGATCGTACCTCGGCCTTTTACCTCAACCTTTGAGGCATCCCCGAACGAAACATGTCCGGTTTCCACTTTTATCATCTTCTTGAAGAAGTGTTTATGTCCGCACATGTGGTTGCTCGCACCCGTGTCAAGATACCACTCCATGTCATCGTCAGGACTTCCTTCACTGTGTGTCATTAACAAGACACCATCCTTCATCTCACCTTCTGTGGCTAGGTTGGACGTCTCCTCCACCTTTTTCTCCTCTCTGCATTCTCTTGCGAAATGTCCGACTTTGCCACAGTTGTAACACTTGTCCGAGTTACAATCTTTCGCATAGTGACCAAACTTTCCACATTTGTGACACTCGATGTTTGAATAATGTGACCGACCTCCTCGTCGACCTCGTCCTCGTCCTCTCCAGTTTTGTTGATTTGACTGTCCTACCTCATCACCATACACTTCTTGACTTCGGCCTCGACCTCTACCACCACGGCTAGTACCTCGTCCACTGCGGCCACGTCCTCTACCTCAGAAACTTTGAG